ACTTGTACATGATAATAACTACATTGTATCCAACATCTAGATTAATTGTACGTGATAATAACTACATTATATTCAACATTTAGACTACTTGTACATGATAATAACTACATTATATTCAACATTTAGACTACTTGTACATGATAATAACTACATTGTATTCAACATCTAGATTAATTGTACGTGATAATAACTACATTATATTCAACATCTAGATTAATTGTACGTGATAATAACTACATTGTATCCAACATCTAGATTAATTGTACGTGATAATAACTACATTGTATCCAACATCTAGATTAATTGTACGTGATAATAACTACATTGTATTCAACATTTAGACTACTTGTACATGATAATAACTACATTGTATTCAACATTTAGACTACTTGTCGAATACTATAATTATTGTTTTGTATTCATCTTTCAGGTTACTTGTTGGAGCTCCAAAGGCCCAAACTGATCAACCAAAAGTAAGGAGGGGGGGCGCTGTGTACAAATGTAGTGTAGATAATCCAGTGTCATGTCAACAAATTCCTTTCGATAAAACAGGTAAGTGATTACAAAATAAAATGCAGTATCAGTTAAAGGAACTTTATTTTTCTCATCCTTATAGTCACTTCTTTAGCCACAAAGGAAAACAACGGAAAAAAATTGAGAATTAAAAGAAGAAGAAAAAAAAACGTTTAAAATGTTGTATTCCTGCGTCTGCATCAAAATTAACATAAGACTGTGTTGTTTGCGTCCGTATGATCTTACCCCCCTCTCCCATTTGTTATAGCTTCATCATGACGTCAGTTGAGTTTCTCACACCATCTGAAGGATCGATCTTGTCCTTTACTTTGATACGATATTTGTATCAGCCTTAATGTATTCATATGTAGTACTTTTGTAGCAATTGAAGTAGGTACATTCTGGTTATTATAGAAATGTGTCTCAGACCTGAATGACATCTCTTGTCATCTAAGTAATTATATCCCTAGCTCGATATTAAATATATCCTATACTTCAATGCCATTTTTTTCTCATTCAAATAGTGAACTTCTCAGCATTAGGGTAAATTTAATATACGCTCTAAGATTGTTTGTTTGTTTTTGTCATTGAATCCTAGGAACCAGGTTTCTTCTTTTCAGCTTATCACCTTCTGTTGGTTTGATATATAAACAGTTTCCTAAATTCTCATTGTCGCCTATTTCGTTCCAAACAAGTTTTTTAATATAGACTTCATGACGCCTCGACAGTGCATCTAATGGTTACTGACACTGAAACAGCACGAAAAGTTCATGAACTGGTCTAGGTTCTGACCTCTCTGCCCTGTCGTGTTTTATGTCTACATTTTCTTTTGACATAAATTTCCTCTAAGACACCTACTCCATACGTTCAAGTGAGTATCAAAACAATTTATCAGCAGGGGAGTTGAAGGAGGGCTGGACATGAAAGAGTAACCCTATTAGGAATTAAGTTTTTGATCCTAAAATACTATAGTCTTGGCGATATGCTCATTAGAACATACCATATAACTTACGGTTGTCTCCTGGTACTTCAGGTGGAAGTTTATTGGCTGTAGTCTCCATCTATCGTTAACCTGCCCAAGCTTCTCTTTACACTCAAATTAGCAATTGTGATGAGGACGAATTATACAAGGACTCTATTTTCTCCCCCTATTGGAAGAGAGAGATAACAGATTGGAAGCTGTGTTCGAATTCACATACTGCGGTTGATTTGCAAGCGAACAATTGGTGTAATCAAAACTGTTTGTGGAAATTGTACTCTGAAGCGAAACATCTCACATATAACAGGGTTCATTAACACCTAGTACATCTTTTAGTACGGTGCTGATAAAACAACTCTTAGGAAGTATAAAAAAGGAACTACGAGAGTTAAAGGAACTACGACAGTTGAAGAGATTTTTCGAGATAATGATGAAATATGATTTCAGTTCAATAGTATTTTTTTCAGTGTAAAAGTAACATTTCCTTCAAGCTGTTGTAATGCGACATATTTTAACTGGTGTTTTGTAACACAATTTTGAATTTTTTCTTTATCGTCAACATTACGTTTCATTCTGACGATATTTTGGGTATGGAACAATTAAAATGACGTTTTTTGAAGGTAACAATGAAGTATTTCTATGGATAGTTTTGTTTGAGTTTACTTACTGGTTATAAGTGTTTTTTTTTTTTTACTAAATTACAGCTTTTACAGTAAAGGGTTTGAATTTCGCGCAAAGTTACACGAGGGCTATCTGCGCTAGTCGTCCCTAATTTAGCAGTGAAAGA